CGCCGCCACCGCCACTACCGCTACCTCCGATAGCCTCCGATGACCTGGTGAGGTCAATAGTCCCGGAGCCCCACTCGCGCGACAGTTTCCTTCCGATAGCGGACGTGAGTTCGCTATTCGGCGACAGTAGTGGACTCCTGGATGCCTGATAGCCGGCCGAGTGCGGCGGTCGCAGAGTAGCGAACACCGGGAAGGACTGGCCTCGCTTGGCCGGGCTGCGAGAATATCTCGGAGTCGGCACACCTCCTCCGCCTCCAGCGGCGGAATCACGGCGAACGGTCGGCGTACCACCACTGGTCGAGTCGCTTCTGGTAGGCGCTAGTGGACGTAGATTGGCACTGCCGCCGAAGTGAGAGCCGAGACGTGGTGGCGGCGAACCTCCATCCCCGTGGCTCAACCTACGGCCTACCGTCTCTAACGGGCTCCTTGCGCGCAAATTGGTGCTGCTGAGCGTGAACTCGCGCGGCTTCATCGGCGCATCGAGACTCACCGGCGACAATCCGAGACGAGACGCCGACAAGTTCGTTGAACTTCTGCTCTTCTCCGAGCGCTTGGGACTCCGAGGCATAAGCGGACTTTTACTGCGACTTCTCTCCCTGCCTTTCCCCAATTTCTCATCCTTTTTCACTGTTTTGGTAGCATCAGGTTCCTCGGGTACCGTCTCGATCTTCTCTTCCTGCTGTACTCTAAAAAATCAAGATTGATCATAAAAATTAGACGTGATATGTCATCATAGAGAAAAATTATTTTGTTTGACTAACTTGAAGATTGCATTCTCTTACCTTCGGATTTCTTGAATCATCTCGAAGAATTGCGCTTTGCTCTTACGTCTTCGACGCTGTTCGTGTTCCTTCTGGAACATGGGAACATTGTAGATATTTAGAAATAAAAATAAATATATCATCCATAAGTTCATGAACATAAATTTTCGAGTAGACAAATTTTTATTAAAAAATCTCGAAGCTTTTCAGTTTTTATTCCAGGATACGTCTGTCATCATAGAGATTTATGTTCGCAAACTTGTGGAACTATTTAGAAGATTGAAAACACGCACTCGTTTGACGCTCTTCTGGAAGAGCGATGCGATCTGGCCCTGTCGCACCGTATGTACCAATTCACGGGCAGCGTGATGCGGCGAGACCAGTTCCACGCAATTGATAAACCTGTATAGCTTCTGCGAGAAGAACATGACATTGCGACTACGCCAAATGGAATCCTCCGGTCTGTGCCGCAATCGCGGCAGCGTGTACTTATAAAATAGATGTTCTCCCGCCAGTATAATCGCGCCGAGCATCACACCCATCCCGAGTAAGCAGAACACCCCGGCCACGGATGCGACTCCCAGTGGCCTAGGTTGACCACCTGGCTCAGGATCTAATCCCGCATCCATCCCCGGTCGACCGCTTAGACAAGGCAGATCACCATACCTGGAATTAGCTCGCTTTATATAAAGTGTTTACCTCACTGATTTTATTACTTTTTTTTTGCGACATTGAACTCATTGTTATATAAAAATGTGTAAAATATATAAAAAAAAAAATATATATATATATATTTATTTATCCTATACTGTATATTTAATATATAACATATTGTACATATTTAATATTTAATGCATGCACACATGCATAATATCCTTAAAAAAAATTGATTTTATACGAGATGAGAATTTTTCATGAGATAAATAACACTTGCTTGTACCTTCGCGAGCAGTTCATATATTCTACGCGTTGGACTTTATTTATCACTTAATAATGTATTTCCGTCTAACGTAATTATCACGCTCCCGTTATTGTGCAAATAAAAAGAAAGTTCGCACGCGAACCGATATCGATTATCCAATTTTTGCGCTTATTTTCGCGCATCGCTCACCATTTTTCTTGTAGAATGTCGAGCAGCCCGTTGCTCGTGTAATTCGCTATAACTTTAGATATGCTTTCCTTCAGAGGATGTCCTTTCGTAAGCGCAATTGCGTAAGTATCTTCGTTGATGGTATCACCGATCTTTTGTAGACGACAACCATCGTCGGTCGCCCGATAATAATCCAAAATCGGCGTATCCGCGATCAAAATGTCCAGAGTACCGTTTCTCAATCGTTCTACGCCCTCGGCGACGTCCGACAGAGAATATCGAGCCATGTGGGACCATAATTGCGGATTCGCTCTTTGCACGTAATATTCGGCTGCAGAAGCTCTCGGTGCACCGACTCTCTGTGACAACAGCTGTAATATAATGCACTTATGAATGTTAAATTCGTGAAACTAAAAATCAGATATTAAAACAAAATAAATATTTCTTTTACATTTAAATTAAAAATTATTCTATGCATAAGTGTTTAATAAATATGTATTAATAATGTTATTTAATTTTGTATTCTGTAATATCACACACAAATAATTAACAAAAATTAACAATTAATAATTATAATAAAAAATATACAGAAAAATTATTTTCCTTCTATTTTTTTCTAAGAGCAATTTTAAACATTCTTTTAAACATTCATATGTGTAAAAGACTAAAATACTTACGCTTTTGTCATGATAATTGCTCACTGCTGAGTGAAAAAAGAGACCGGCGATAAGGGCGGCTATGTTAGCCGTGTACGAGGCCACGAAGATAACGGAGAAGCCGCCCCAAATGTTGATAAGGAACTTGTTAGGCCAAGACTTTGGCGCTTTGAAGGCCACGAGATGGCCGCATAAAAGACCCCACATCACCCACAGCGCGGAGGCGATGGAGAAATTCTTGCTACGCTGCCTGCCCCAGGGATTCAGGCCGAACGGACTGAACCATTCATAGAGTGCGACGGCGATCGCGGTAAAGTTCAGCGACGTAAATACGGCGATCCACAGCTCCGTGCTGAACGGGAATAGAAACGCAAACAGCGGTATCTCAGAGCGTAATTTAGGCGCCGTGAGAAAGCTCACGCCGCTGAAATAGTAGGGCGTAGTGAAGTCCACTACTTGAGCACGATGGGTAGACACGCTCAAGGGTGCGAACGCCAGCTGCGCCCGGCCGGATACCAGTTCGCCCATCACGCCGTTCCACGTGCCACTCCGACCATTTCGTTTGCCAAATAGCCCATCCTCTGCCAGGTACAGATCAAAGCGGAAGCCGAGCTCACGCGCCACCAATGACAGCAAATCCATGCTCAGGCCGTAGCAGCACATTATGGTATTACCCTGCCGACAGGTGAGTCCGCGCAGACAGAAACCCTCCTGCAGATTTGTCATCATGGTGAACGGTGAGGCCAGCGCGGTCACGATGCGATAAATTGGCATCCCGATCCTCTCGCCGCCCTGTTCGAGATACGCCGGCATGATGCCACCGCCCGGCCAAATTATGGTGTCCAAACGGACCTCCCTTCCTCCTTTGATAGTGCCGACCTTGGTCCACCTGTTAAACATTGATGATATCGATTATTTCACCTTCTAATGAAGCATGAATATCTTAAGATCGAGCTGAACCTCAATTGAGTTTTATTCCCGGGAAACCTAACGGCCTGCAAATTCAGCAGCTGGAATTCTGCCTTGTCCCTGGAGATCTGTCCCATGGACTTCCTCAATTTCCTCGTTAGAGTCGCGGATACATTTTCCCTCGCGTCGCTTGTCATGAATTTAGAATTGCGATCCGACAAGCATTCCGGTACAAACTGCTCTTTAATCTGCAGTTCGCGCATACGATTCAATCTCGTTTTTGTTTCTAGAAAGGTCTCATCCAACGCCTGCGAGGTCTCTCTCAGCATTCGAGTCAGTATAGTATCACTGCCCATGATCTTGATGCCAGATGGTCTAAGTGCGAGCATACCGACTGGCATAAAACTCTTAGAATTGAGCTCTCTGTCACTCGGGAGCCTCACAACATCCTCCTCGTCGTCGAAATTAAAACTCTTGTCCTCCCGCTTGATTATGATCTTCTCGTCTCGCCATCGATACTCTTGCAGTCGGTGTATATCATTGGCCAAACTCGGCAACGGATTCAATGGCGGTAGCGGCTTCTCGTCCGATGCAAGATTCGTCGTTCGTTCCAGCAGCGGTGAATTATCGTTACCCGCAATAGCGACACGCGAGCTATGAATCATGTGTGAACTGATGATATTAGGTTCGTTCGGCCGCAGTTCCGCCTTGAGATCCAGCCAGAGCCACAAGAATCTGCCCGAGAGCATTTCGAATTTGCCAGCCGCACTGAGGATCTTTCGGGCGTTATTCAAATCACAGGCCATCACCACAACTCCGCCGCTACCGCTCTCTTCGGCTACCCGTCTCAGCCTCAATTTCAGAGTTCTGTCATTCGTCGGAAGATGAATAATCGCGCGGGGTGTCAACGTCGGCTGATTCGTTTGTAGAAGATGAGTGATAGGCAGAAGGGTGGTGTCGATGAGAAGAGTGAATGCGTGCCAGTTAGCCCGATGCATTAAGGCGGCAGCCGCTGCTCCGACCTCCTTGGGGCTCGAACCTATGCGGTTCTCAAACCGGCCGAGATTTCCCTGCAAACAAAAAATAATCTCTTTTATTTCCGTTTCATAAAACCTCAATTACATAATTGAATCATTCTATGCCTTATTGAATCTAATGCTATCATAATATAAAAAAAGAAAAATGTATTATTATTTTCTTTTTCAAAAGCTAGAAGGCAAATTTCGTGAAAATGGATATATACCTGACGAAGAAAGTCTCTGTGTGTAAACGGCAACCACAAAGCTGGAAGGTTCAAGGCAGCAGCAGCCGTAACGAGAAATCTGGCTGCCGATCCTCCCCCTATAATAAGGCTTAATACTGTCTTTCCGCCTTCGATGTCTGTACAAAATTTGTTTAACAATGTCAAGGGGTATAACATGGTATCCGTCACGGGCCTTGCTTCTGTATACGACACGTCCATGTCTGCGTGAAAAGATTCCAGTCTCGCTTCCTCCCATGCTTTCTGTACGTCCGCCTTGAAAGGAATTTGAGGCTGAGTTAAGCATATCACTATTCGCCACGACGCGTAAGATGACCTGAGCCTGGCCTTCGCTGCTCTCAGAGACTTGGCAGCATCCGCAGTACCGGACACTGATACTGAAGTCCCTAACAAGAGGAGAATTACAACTCCAGTATAGGAACCAGGCATCTTCCTCAATTTTCCTTATACTCCCCTTCCTCTTTTTCTCTATTTAACTTTCTTGATATACATTGCTGAAGAGCGTGGGCCTAATCTGTAAGAAATAATATTTCTGTTGAATCCAGTGTATCCTTAATATCTCATCTAATATAGATATGACAAAATTAAGATTGTATAGATAAATATTTTACTAATATAATGTGTATCTTTTAAATTATATTTCTTGAAAAAAAATCTTCTTCAGCACAAAATACTTATAATTATATATCTTGTACTGTGTTACAAAAACATACAAAAGATACATCCTACGTTTATATGTATCTCGACGAAAATGCAAACCGTACAACAATTGATTAATATCAATTAGCAACAATTACTGTATATAAAAGGATTAATAACGATATCTTTCACCTGAGGAGTAGTTACCCCTTGTTCCACTTTCTTTCTTTTTTTTCAGGTGTCAAGACAACTTTCTCAGCGTAATCAGACACGTAATTTCGCGTCACAACGTGCACGCACTTCGGCGGGAGAGATTCTAATTCACATTCCGAAAGCATAATCCGTACGCGTTTCGATGATGCACAAAACAGAGACGACCTTACCTCTTGACGGAAGGGATGGAAGGTCGCGCGTCTGGTGGGGGTTTGAGAAGAACAGAGCAGGGATCGCTTTTTGGCCACCGCCGCATAATAGCCGTCGGTCGGATAAACCGTGTCAATCGTCGCGAGGCACTCGGTCAATTGGTCGGCGCGGAGGACACGGACGATGAGCCACCCGTCACTTGTCCACCCCCGGACGATCTACCCCGTGCGTAACGGCCATTTTCGCGAGAGCAGCCCCTCCCTTTAAATTTCACCCCTGTGGCACCTTGTGATCCACACGAGCGCGCTCGTGGCATACTACATGTATTGCGCCTGCCTCCCCCTGTATAGGGGATGCGAGTACGTATATACGTATATACGCGCGTCCTCGCGTGTATCGGCGGCTCTCTGACAATGCCACTAACACTCGTGGATTTTGCTGACGCCCGTTATAAATGTCTCTCATAGTGTCCTATGAATTAAAAAAGAACGGATTTCTTGAGCTCCTCCTAATGCGAGGTGTCCCGGAAGTCGTGACCTGATTTCATACTCTTGGGATAACACGACTCTTTCTTGAGTGATATAAATGGAGAAAATAATAATTTTGTGTGTATTGTTATAAGAGATTAATGATTGGAAACGGTGTTATATGTGGAAGCTAAGAAATAAAAATAATATAAAGATTTAACACGTTCAATCAACAATTTTTCAAACGTATGAAGAAATATCGAAATCCTCGATTTTTATTTTGCTGTTAGTTTAATCGCATTTTTAAATCTTCAAATAAAAATAAAAAATTTTCTCTAACTTTATTTTCGAACTTCTTGAGAAACTTCTTTAGAATTTTATTTCTAGATTAAACTACTAAAACAAACTACTAAAAACTTCAATTAAAAAAAAGAGTAATGCCTTCAAAGTTTCACTTAAAACAAGTTCGTCTTTAAAAATCTTTAAAAAGGATTTGTTAAAATTAAAACTTAAAAATTGCGGGACATTTCGCGTGTATTAAAGAAAAATCAAAAACATTCAAAATCTTTAGAAACAAATTGCTCCAATTTTGATCTTAAATCTATTTTTTGTATTTTCATGTCTTTATTAACTAAAAAATAATTAATAAATCATAAATAAAATCTAATTCCTTTAAAAATTATTTTTCTACTAGTATTCAGTAATAGTAACAATAATAGTACTTCATGTCTTGAATTATAAAAAAAAAATAGTAATGAAAAAACATGAAAAAAATCCAAAAATTCTAAAAAATTTTATAATAGAAAAATTTGATGTTAAATATAATATTAATGTTCTAAAAATTTTTTCTATTAGAAAGATAATGGCAAATATCGGAATGAACGTACAAAATAATCTTGTAATAATCCTCGAATTATCAGTGGGCAATAGCGCAAAGTTCTTTTCGGCCGGAAAATAGCTTCGTATATTTGGGATCTTCTTTTTAATGTACATTTGCATTATATACATATATTACGCCGCACTGCCATAATTGGGAGCATTTTTACTAGGTTTACAAGGCGTTGAAACAATAAGGAGACGAGCATTGCTTTGCCGAATCCGCTGTCACCTCTGAAGACTTTACTTTCTCTCTCTCTCTCTTTCTCTCTTTTTTTCTCTCACACGGTGTCTTTCTCACTGTTTCTCTTTCTCGCTAGAGCTAAAATAACGTAGTCGGAATGCAATTACATAGATGCAGTTATCTCACGGATACGAGATCCCGCCCCATTCTTAGCTCCCTTTCCGCTAGGAACTAAATTAATTACAGAGACAGGTTCTCGATAACAGATAACGATTATTAAAATTAGCTAAATAGATTCTGCTGCGATGCATCGTTCTCGAATGTGCTCCATGCATTGTTCAGCTCCATGAAAATCAATTTTGCTATATTTTCATTTGCCGTGCCTGCTTGCTGTAACACAGAAATAAGTTCATGTTAAAAAAATTTTTTAAATTAAAAAAGTACATTTAGAATTAATTGCGTAAATAATTATGTAAAATTATATTAATTCTTTTCTTTGCCACCGTAACATTTAATATATAAATATATGTTAAATAATACATAATAAAGTTAAAATAAAACATATTAATATTTTTACTGTTTAATTTAGTAATATCGATTTTATTAAGAATATTCAAAAAAAGGCAACATAATTAATAATTAATTATACAAGATAAATACATTGCTGCTATTATTGATTTACCCTGATTTTTATTGGAAAAATAAAGAATGCGAATAATATTTCGATTATAATTCAGAGAATAATAAAAAAGTATTATATAAACAATGATATTCAATGCAGTTTAAATACCTTATCCGGATGTACAGCCAAGCAGGCTTTTCTATAAGCTTTCTTGACGTCCGCAGCTGTGACCAATTGATGCATCTCGCAACGCTGCCATCTGTCAGCCTCCGGCCACAAGACCGTGTGCAACGAGCATAGCAAAGCTCGCAAATTTCCCTTCTTGCCCTCCGTCCATTCAGCTATTTTCAACCTGTCGGGATCCATTAACTTGGCTGCTTCCACCTTCCGCATTTGATTTATTGTCTTCGGACTGTCTTTCTCCGCCTTACGTGAGCTGAAGAAGTTGTATCCTTGACTACCGAGCAGATCTTCGAACGCATCGCCACTCGTCTTCTCTTTTGCTTTACCGCCAAATGTATCTGAAGCACCGGTGTTCGCGCCATTGGTCTCATTAGTTGCTGCGTTGGATTTGTGCATCGTGTTCGGGCTGGAATGGATCGGCGTACTCGCGGGCGCCGGACTCGCCGACTGCGGAGTATTCGAATTCCTTGGCGTACCGTTCCAGCTGCCCGCGAGACCGGCTCCGAGCGATCCAGCTAAATTGGCGAACGGATCCTTGTTAGTTTGAGCGGCAAAGTTCGGCACACTAGCATTTCGCGGGAAACTCTCTTCAGCACTCGGGCTTTTGGCGATGTTCGAATTTGCTGTGCCTGCAGCGAAGCCACCAAGAAAATTGCACGAAGCATTTCCACCTAATGGATCGAACATAAAATCATTGACCTCCTTAACGTTGCTCGAAGTGGTCTGACTTTGCCCAAACAGCAGGTCGTTCATGTTCAAATTGCTAGCGGTGTTGCTACTTCTCGTCATGGAATCGTTATGTCCGAACAATAAGTCAGTCGAGGCGCTATTGTTAATTAAAGGTATTGAGTTGGCGGCCTCGGTTTGCGGCGCCGAGATGCCAAAACCGCCCAAGAGATCGCTTTCATTCTGACTAGAACTAGAAAAGATATCTAATTCTGGATTTGACGCCGCGGCCGTGGCGGCGGGAGTATTTGAGGTATTATTGATATTGTCCGGCATGCCGAGATTTAACAAATCTGCCTCCCGAAAGCTGTTCTCTTCATTCCTACTTGACTCTTCTTCCTTTGATTGTTCCAGCTGTGGAGGTACTGCTTCGTGTTGTGATATTTTATCGGTTTCGCTCGATGATTCTTTCTGAGTCTGCAATAATAGTTATTATCAATTATCGTGTACTTTCTAATATTTCGCTGAATTTTAATGTTAAAAAGACTAAATAATTAAATATGTCTAATAAATAAAAACAACAAAGTATTCTACCTCTTCCGAGCGAGGAACGGTCCGGAAGTTCTCTAAAGTTTCCTCCATTTCCAGCGTCGAACCGAACAGCGGATCTGGCATGGGCTTAACGGACATTTCCGCTTCCCATGGTGCCGGCACTCTTGATAGTTTCGAATTTTCTTCGCCTATCATGACATTCAGTACAATGCGAAACTTGCCGCCGATCTCAGGTGCATCATCCAGATCGCGTTTCTCGAACGTCATGGTGCTCTCGGTGATGGGCACGTAACCAGTGTGAAAATGTACCGAGGCGATTTTAATGCCAATCACGCGGCCAAGCTGCTGCCTAGCGTGGTATATCACTAGAGTGACATCACCGCGTACGGCCGCATCTCCCAATATCAGACAAACCTTGCCTTCCATCATTCCGAATAATTTCATTTCTTCATAGTTGGCTTTTTTTGTCGTGAAGACCAACGCGCCGTTACTATAAATCTCTATATATGGTCGGCAGCCATCTCTCGCTCTGGTGAATAGCGGCACTGGTTGTATAATAACGGAACGAAGAATCAGCGGCTTCGTATGCGGAGGCCGGCCACCGCTCAGTAGGCTCATGTAATTAATACTGCGTAATTCCGAGGGCTGCAGATGCGGTGGCTGACAGCGTCTAGTAGTGAACAGGGCGATCGCCTCGTCGGTAGTGGTCAAAGCCCTACAGTAGATCAGTAGAGTGCACGCTACCGTGGCGCTCGCCCGATACCCGTCCTGTAAGGACAAACCAGCAGGATAATCGCGGTTGCGGATCGCATTTTGCGAACGTTTGAGTACGCGATTTCAATTGCAACATACTCACAGTACAGTACAGCACCACCACGTGATTGAAGTCAGCGTTCAAATATTGATAGATATCTTGACAGATCTGGTACAGAGCGAACAGCATGGGCGCGTTCGATTCCGGCGAAGCGTAAGCAAATGAACAATCAATATGCCTGCCAGGGAGCCGTGAGACGTTTGGCCGACCACGAGATAGATTGTAGAGCTGGATCTTGGCGGGTGGCGGATGTCTAGCATGAAGAAAAGCTCTCACATCCTCTACATGATTAGCCCGATAGGCGGACTCGATCCCATCGGCCGGATATGGCATAATAAGTATGCGTGATGTTAGGTAACTTGCATCTAATTCCGTCCTGGCCATACTCTGTTGAACGGTGTGCATCATCTTGCTGGAGGTGTCTTTCAAGTTGCGTAAGATGCTACCTGCACCGCCTCTCAGCGAATTGAATAGGCCAGATGTACCCTGAGTTGCTGGAACTTTCGACATCGCCGTCTGCACGGGTGCCGGTCTTGGTGGTGGCATCGTTACCGGCGTATTAGGATGAGGGAGCGGAGACGGCTTAATCGGCGTAGTAGACGGTGGCGGTGATGTTGGACGCGGGGGCGGAGACGGCTTAATCGTGACTTCAATCCGTGACGGTTCTCTGGGATCAAAGTCGTTCGATTCGGCAATCGCCGCTAAACGTTCCAGAAGCTGCGCCGTTGTTAGCCTTTGTATAGGTGAGATTTGCAGGCATCCTTTCACTAAGTCATGTAGACACGCGTATCGTGGATTGGGTGGAAGTGGTGGATACTTGCCATTCACGATTGCCAATTTGTTACCTGCATGTCGAAAATATTTGAAAAAACATTATAACAAATAAACATATAATGTAATAAAATAATGTAATAAAATATTTTAATAAATATCAAAAATTTAACTTTGACGATAGAATTAATTTTCATTAATAATTTCCTATTTGTTTACATATATTCTATTAAATTATGTTCATAATATTTCGATATTATTTCTATATCTTTGTCAAGGAACGTATCTTGGCACATCCTTTCTAATGAGTCATCTTGCATTTCCACATCTTTTATTGACTGCAACATCTGTACGCTCTAATTATCACGATTCAATAGCAAATTATTATCTCACCTTCAGGGAAAGGATGTCGCAACGTAATCAAAGAGTACAAGATACATCCTAAAGCCCAACAGTCCACTGGAGGCCCTATAGGTTCATTGTTCCACGTATCCATTATTTCCGGAGCACGGTACATGGGGGTTGTGTACTTGGCCAACTGGTCCTCCAGAGTGGCACGTTTTTGAGCATTCCATGATGGGTCCGGTAGTATCTGCTGAGTCGAGGCGCTGCCAAAGTCACAAAGTTTCACGAGGCCATCTCTACCAATCAGAAAATTCTCCAACTTGATATCCCGATGCACAAAGGGTTCTGGTTGCTGACTGTGCATGTGATGCACCGCACGTGTTGCTTGATACGCTATCTTGCACACTTGGGCGAGAGTTAATGTGTTCGCAGACACATTCCTGAGTATATCCGCTACCGTACCGCCGGGACATAGCTCCGTGACAACCAGATACTCATATCCTTTACGATCCTCTCGCTCCAATCGTTGGGCATACAAGAATTGAATAATATTTGGATGACCCGATAGTCTCTTCAACGTGTCTATTTCTTGTATGACAGTTCTGTTTGCATCTTCATCGACGGCGATAAGTCTCTAATGATAAAAATAAACTTTGTAGAATGCAACAAAATAAATACATAATAAATTTCAAAACCTTGAATTGTCTTGAATTGGTTTCTTACCTTAAGTGCATATTCTTTTCCTGTAGCAACATCTTCTACCGCAAACACCAATGCCCATCCACCTGTTGATACGATGTTTGCCACAAATTATCTAAATGTTAATAATGATACATAATTCGATTATGGGAACTATATATATCTCTCGCTCATGTTTATCATGCGCATAGATAAATATTATTTATTATGTATGTGTTAAATAATAATTTATTTTATAAAATCATTTAAACTGTCATATTTTTGTTAATGTTTTAAATGTAAAAAGAATTTTATAATTACTTAAATTTATGAAAAACTTTTAGATCTTTCCATATGTAAATACTAATATAATAATTTTATTTAAAATATAAAACATTCTTTTCAGTCTGATTTTATCAAAAATTAGAATTATTATTTTACATATTAAGACAAAGGAATTTTATTTCAGTGATTTTTAATCTCAAACGGTTAGTATACAATAAATTAAAGAAAACACAATTTACATTGCTTAGTTTTCATTTTTTAAAAATGTTAAAATAACTTGCATTAATATTTGAAAATTATATGTTTAACAAATACCTTAAATATTCCAAAAAAATTTTAAATTCCTAAAAGTCAGTTTTAAATATGTATATTTTAGTATACTTTTAATATTTACTTTCATAAACGGATATATAAAATAGATTGAGAATGTATGATGATTCATTAAGGGTAAGCTATATTATTACAATCAATAGAGACTAAATATAATTAAAAAGATTCTTCTCTATTCAGATATATCTTCACGTACACAAAAAGACTGCGGGACTCAAGGCTCGAACAAAATCAACCGCGTATTAAAATCCGTAACAAACGATCGTTTGAGAAAATGCGATAAACATTAATCGATGAGCGGGCATGAATAGACCAGCTTCCGATAATATCCGATTTAGCGGAACGCGATAATGCGTGCGGTGGAGAGAAGGAGAGAACGGAACGCGTCAACGTCAGAATAGATCGTCCGCGATGTGCTTGACGCTAGGTGGCCGCATGTCAAAACATGTTTGACACATGACAGGAGACAGATGTCACGCGAGATCAGCGAAGTCTGGCCTTTCTTTTCTCCTCTTCCCGTTCCTCGTCGATCGGCCCTCATTTCAGATTTCCTTCTTTATTTTTATTCTTTTCAGAGACACGGGAAAACGAGCCACGTAACACTCGGCGGTCGTGATCGATTTTATCGGCTCTTATCGCGAGCAGGAGGTGCCGCCGGAGCGAGGATTCGCGTCAACCGGAGATGATAGACTCACCCTCGGCAATCAGCCGCGTCACCCTCAGCTTCACATTGTTGATGTCCAATGTTTGGCCGACGTACTCGTTGCCGCCGGTGCCGCCGTTCAGGTACCCGAACGCGGACCTCAGGTAGTCCGACATTGTTTCCCTGGACCTGCCTCGATGGGCACCCCCCCAGACAGCCCGCACTCACAGTCGCGTCGTTGCGAACAGCCGATGCCGTGCGGCCATATTGGCGCGACGATACCGTCGACGCGCGCATTCGATTCGGCGCAGGCGCAACGTGACGCGGCGCGGCGCGGCGCGACGCAGCTGTCTCTTTCGACGCTAACTTCAGGCGTCACAGGGACTGAAATTAAAGTATCAAAAAATTGTCTGCGATAACTGAGGAAGAGAGAGGGGACGTTTTTATTTTATCACTTTTTACGACTGTAGATTAACTTTAAGCTCAGTTTAATTTGTTGTTTATTTTTTTCTAATTCTACGAATTAGAAGATAAAGATTAAATTGAACCGAGATTAAAGTTAATCTACATACATTGATAGAAATTGGCATTAGCTGAACTTCTTGCGCGGTTCATTCTTCCTCTTTGTTCTTCTGTATTGAAGAGAAAAGGAGGAAAGATGAATCGCGCAAGATATTCAGCTAAAAAGATCTCTTATGTATATAACAAATATATCAATGTAACATGTGACTTGAAACGCATTATCTTTTGTTCGTTACTTTATCGAGAAAGAGAGACGCGCCAGCGCCGAATCGCGATGCCGTGACTGCAGTTTGCGAAATCATCCTCGCAATCGCTCCGATCATTTCGATCGCCACGCTTTTAACTCTCTTCTATTCCGCCCTACTTGCTCACGCAGCGTGCAATCACGCTTGCTTGCCGATCATAATTCTTTCTACGAAGAGATCGCGCCCGTTAGCGAACGGGATGGTAGACAACAAAGGAGAGTTTCAACGCTCTGAAGTAGAATAAAATGAAACGCTTCGAACGATGTTGAACGAATATATTTTATCTTTCGGACGTTTTGCAGAATTAGGAATTGAGAATTACGAATGTGAATTGTTCAAACTTGATGCTCATTTTTTCGCTTTCTACTCAAATAGATCAAAATATATTATGTTTAAATCTTTTATCTGAATTTCAAAGAATAAAAAAATAAATGATAATTATTACATGATACAATCAATTTTTATCCTTATTTAATAAATTGATTGTAATCATGATTATTCTGATTATTCTTCATGATATTCATTTCTTTATTAAACATATCATTGGTTTTTCCTTTATCTGTAAGTATGCTTATTCAAATATGCCTAAGGATATAAAATGGCATAAGCTGCATATGTATAAAATTTAGACCAATGAACATGTTATGTAAATCAATGTGACGACTTTATGATTTACTGGGTTTAGAACTTCGCTGGTTTTGGAACTTCATTGGTCCAGATGGTCTTACGCATGCAAATGCAGCTACGTCATGTTTTTGCCTTTTGTCTGTGATGGCCATAGATCTTATAGTGCTGGATACGTCTTTTCCTTAAGATAAAAAGAAATAGTAGATGTGTCGTATCTTCTATCCTTTCCGAAAGATTACATGATAAAGAAGGATATAAGATATTGCTCTCTTGCTCTATCATATAGAAACGGAAGGACAAAACATTACTCTCTCGCTCTAACAACTCGATCTCAATTTTAACCAGAAGCATATTTGAGTTGCGTTCCAATATTCACTGCCAGTACTGAAAATATATAGTTCAGGTCACGTATATATTATAGATTTTCAGTACTTGCAGTGAATATTGGAACGCATCTCCAGTACTATAAGATCTATGGCGATGGCCCTAACTTCAGACGCGCAAGCGTACAATGTGACACGCGGACGTAACAACGACGATGCGACATTTGTAGGTAAACATTCGTAAACACCAGTAAACACTGGTGAATGCATGTTTTTGTTTAATGCGCTTTCTACTTGTCATTTGTTTTCATATGATCATAAATTATTATTATTGGTTAATAATAATTTGACGTGTTTTAATTAATAGTGTTTTAATTTGCAATTTCAGACAGGGACAAATATAGAGGTACTATTTTTAAAACGACTATTAAAATATCCTGGTTTATTCCTTAACGTAATCGAAGACTACGAAAGTGCATTTCATAAAATTAACATGTAATTATGATGCAGAAATAATAAATATAATATATTCATCTAAACTTGCTATGTGATATATGAGTCATTTTTGGATGATGAGTTTAATGTCTAAGTTGTTAAATTGTATTTAATGTTCCTAGAATGGCTTATGTATCTTTAATGTAAGAAATCTTATTTTTATTTGCGAGAACACTCAATTGTTACTGTTATTGTCCTCTTGTTGGAACATATATTTATTATCTTTCCTTTGTCTCTTAGCTTGAAGCAAATTTATTAATTTTCAAAGATGTCCGAGTTGATAAAATTCACAAAATTAAGAACTGCGACAGACTCAACATTCTGGGCAAAATTTGCAGAATTAAAAATAGATAAGCTAAAACTAGATGAAAAATCCAAGATTCACTTATGGGGGAGTTATTCCCTTCAGCCAATGAATGAGGAAAGAATTAATCCATTACTACTTGATTGTACATCATTTAATGAGTAAGGATACTAAAAATAGAGATTGTATTTTTTATAGAAAAGCTAATTTAGTTTTAAATTGTTATAACTTCCATCTATATTAATAGCAGCTGATAATAATTATATAAATTTTACTTTGATATAATAAACAGAATAAGCTTCATTTAGATGAATTTCAGAAATTTGGAGACAACTTCTCATAATGCTGGAATAGCTCGTTATGGTTATATGATAAATACTAATACCTATGAGACATTTAGACAAATAAATCCTGAAAATTTTATTGACACCATGGGTGAATGTGTTATCGATAGCATCAAAGATGGCATGGCTTTGCAGGAGCCATGGCGGCTCTCGATGTTTGTAGTATTTGCATACTCTGATCTTAAGAAATATAAATTTTTTATTGGGCTGCACATCCAGCTCCTTTTTCGCTACCAGAGACTCATTTGATCATGCCAACAAAATTTGCATCTGGTGAATTTACAGCCAATCAAATAGACAAATTACATGCAGATTTTCTTCAGCTAGATGCAAAGTCAAAAAATTTTTTTACAGTTTTTACATCGGGTAATGATTTGAACATCGATAATTTAGCGAAAGGAATAGAATATACAAAAGCAAGCATTAACAACAAGGGAGATTCGGAACAGGTATAGTTTGATGAATTTATGTTATCTTTTATTCTCATATTGTTTCATAAATTAATAAAAGACATTTGTTATTACTAATGATTTATTAGTAATAAATCCATCTTTAATATTATCAGGTGAAAAATGGGCTATACTTTGCATTTTATGACCCTTGCACGAGTGCAGAACCTGGATGGCCTTTACGAAATCTCCTGTGTTTATTATTATGGCATTGCCCTATGTACTGTTTTACACATAACATCAAATTTTTATCAATAAGGAATGATAAGATGCAAGCTGCAATTGTATTTACAGTTAGAATCAAAGAAGATAAAAATGTAGAAATTATAAGAAAAACCATTTCTGAAGGACATTTAGTAGGTTGGGAAACTAACACGAATGGGAAAATGGGTCCTAATATTGCGGATTTATCTAGCATTATGGATCCTACTAAGTAAGTCTATTTTTTTTTTTTTAGATAACTGAAGATGATTTCTATGTATGAATATTTACGTGTGCTGTTTATGTTTGTGTGTTATGTTAGACTGTCAGACAGAGCGATCAATTTAAATCTAAAGTTGATGAAATGGCGCCTTGTGCCTAATCTAGATTTGGATAAGATCAAGGATTTACGATGCCTTTTGTTGGGCGCCGGTACATTAGGATGTGCTGTGGCTAGGATACTCCTCGGTTGGGACATCACCAATATAACACTCGTGGATAATTCTACTGTTTCTCACAGCAACACAGTACGTCAGAGTCTATATACGCATGAAGACGCGGTGCAACGTCGGCATAAAGTACACGCTGCAAAAGATGCTTTACTTAGAATACGTCCTAATATGGCAAGTATATCCCTATTATGAACTTATTGCATTAAAGTAATATCTTTACGAAGAAAGCAATCATCATCTATGAAATCATTTCACAGAATGTGGAAGGTGTGGTCTTGCATATTCCTATGCCCGGTCATGTAATCGGTCAAAGTATGATGGAGACGACGAGGGAAGCTGTTAGCAAATTGCAAGAACTCGTAAATAATCACGATGTGATATTTCTGCTTCTGGATTCGCGTGAAGCTAGATGGCTGCCGACTCTTCTATGTGCCGCATCGAAGAAAATCGCTATCAATGCTGCTTTAGGTTTCGATTCGTACACGGTACAACGACATGGCAAGCGTTCTCTTTCTAATCCTGGCTTGCCTAATATAAAGACACAAAATCCTACAGGACAGGATCTTGGATGTTATTTTTGTAATGATATAACACAACCTGGAAATGTAAGTTTTTTTATGTTAACGTGTCAATTTTGGAAAATATTATATAACATAAATCATCATCATCATAAATCCTTATAAGTTTTAGAAAAGATAATGATGTTTTAATTCTGTGACTATTATTTTCATTCATGTTCTAGTCACAAATGGATAGAACGCTCGATCAACAATGTACTGTAAGTCGACCGGGTTTGTCGCAAATCGCCGCGGGTTTGGCAGTTGAATTACTCATGGCAGTAATCCAACATCCCCAAGGGTAAACTAAATTCAAATAAAAGCTAGTAATAAATAAGTTTTATTTATATAATATGATTCTGGTGATATTCAATTTGCTCTTGCTATATAATAGATTTCATATTGATTTAATTCTATAATTTTTAGAATTTCAGCTAGAGCGTTTATGAATAACGAGAATGATGATTATCAAGAGAATACTGACAATCCACTAATAGGATTATTGGGTGGTGTTCCTCATACAATACGGGGTTCGCTATGGGGTCACGAAGAGAACCTGACTATCACACATAGATCCCCATTCTGTACCGCTTGTTCGACACCTTTGATCAAAGAGTATCAACAACGTGATTTCGCTTTCATACTCGACGCTTGCAATATACCAAATTATCTTGAAAAATTGTCAGGACTCGAGGAAATACTGAAAAGACCAGATTTGGATGAGGTAATAAATTAAAGTATATAAACAACTTAAATGTATTTTCCAATCTAAAATGTTATAAAAAAGATACAAATATTTTTAAGTCATACTTTTATTTTTTATATAATTAGTTTCAAAATTGTTCTAATTTAATAAGTGAAAATTAAAATAATATATTACTATCGCTTTATTTTCATTGCATTTTTTATGATACACATTTTTAATTTTCAGTTATGTTATATAATGGATACTTCGAGTGAGGAGAGTAATTATGAAGAAGCAACGACTTAAGTATATGCAGGAAAA